TGCTGCAGGTATCCAGTCAGAGGCAGATCAGGGAGGCTCTGAGCCAAACACTTCAGGACTACGTGGACAAATAATTGGTTCCAACTCGACTCAGGCCACGCCCCCCTGATCGTTGGGAAGCGTGTGGCCGCCACCTGGACCCTGATGAACTCCACAGGTGAACAGATTTTTTCAAGATTCAAGCTTTTCACCAAATCCACGGACGGCTCCGCTCCGTGTACCCGACTGTACGTCCGCTTTATTAAATATTTCTGCTCAATCCTAAAAATAAAAACTCCTCCATTAATAACAATCTAACGTCCAAAGGTTCCGACTCCCCGAGGGCTCAATAAGAGAGGCAGCTGGTGATATTTGCGGAGAGGATTATTCACATTATTTAAAGCGCTGAAATGAGACGTCACTCAGCTTCTCTGAACCTCCACGCTGCAATCACGAGGACAAAAATCTTTTTTATGAAAATGGATTAAAAGAGCAGCCAATGAAGAAGATCGGGATGTGAGGGGAAATGATAAAACATGTCAATAATTATCAGAATATATGTTGGAGCCAAAATGCTTGTTTTATTGATCTTTGCAAAAAAAAAAAAAAAATGTGAATTTGTGAATGTGTATTTGAGTGTAATATCGACACTGACCACTAGGCGGAGTCTTTGCTTATGCTGGTCATAAAGCCAAGGCCCCAGGAAATCAGATTCAGGTGTGTTTGGAGGCATATCGTTTTTGACCGTGTTGGGGTGTCCAGTTTTGACTTGAATGTAACCGTTGATGTTTTTTTATGTATTGGATGTAATGAGACATTTACAGGCTGTTTCTGTGTCTGTACCTTTAAATGTAAATGAGCTGTGTCCGACCACGCCCCCTCTCTGGAAGAGCTCGGTGGTCTTGGGCTTTTTCGCTCCATGTCCTGTTGTTTACGGTGAGAAGGCAGACTCAGAGGGCAGAACAAACACCTAGCTGTGGGAGTGCAACCAACCTGGGGGAGGGGTTACTGCCCTTTGTGATGTCATGAAGGGAAAATCTCCAAACGGCCTGTTTGAGTACACATTTTCTGAAAAGTGGAGCAGGCAAAAGACAGAGAGGATGGACTTTTCTCATCATTGGGGGGTTTGTAGACGGACTAGGGACACATGTTAGTGTTAGAGAAACATGGAGAAGTAGATTTAATATATTAATATGTGACCCCTTTAAAGTTAACTACCAGACGACTGTTCACGGATATTTACTTTTAATGGATGTGAACGCTTCCTCTGTCTCTCTGCAAGGATTTAAACTTTGGACATCAAACTTTTCTTCCTTTTCTTCTACTTTCTTCAAATGTTATTGTCATTTCCAGCACAGACAGCAGGTTATTTTTTCTGAATCAACTAAATTGACCAACAACCCCCCCCCCCTCCGCCCCTGAGGCTGAGCGCTCTTATCAGCACAAGACTAAATGAACCTGCAGCTCCTGCAGCTCCACTCCTGAAACCCTGAACCTTATCAGCCTGAGCCAGCTGAGAGCAAACAGCCGAACCTGCTCACTCCCACCCTGCAGGACCTCCATCACTGTCTGCAGGATGAGACACAGAGGAGGAAGAGGAAGAGGAGGAGAAGGAGAAGGAAGAAGAGGAAGAAGAGGAGAAGGCGGAGGAAGAGGAGGAAGAGGAGGAAGAGGAGAAGGAAGAGGAAGAGGAGGAATAAGAGGAGGAGGAGGAAGAGGAATAAGAGGAGGAGGAGGAGGAGGAGGAAGAGGAATAAGAGGAGGAGGAGAAGGAAGAGGAAGAGGAGGAGGAGGAATAAGAGGAGGAGGAGGAGGAGGAAGAAGAATAAGAGGAGGAGGAGGAGGAGGAGGAGGAAGAGGAATAAGAGGAGGAGGAGAAGGAAGAGGAAGAGGAGGAGGAGGAATAAGAGGAGGAGGAGGAGGAGGAGGAAGAGGAATAAGAGGAGGAGGAGAAGGAAGAGGAAGAAGAGGAGGAGGAATAAGAGGAGGAGGAGGAGGAGGAAGAGGAATAAGAGGAGGAGGAGAAGGAAGAGGAGGAGAAGGAGGAAGAGGAAGAGGAGGAAGAGGAATAAGAGGAGGAGGAGAAGGAAGAGGAAGAGGAGGAGAAGGAGGAAGAGGAAGAGGAAGAGGAAGAGGAAGAGGAAGAGGAAGAGGAAGAGGGAGGAGGAGGAATAAGAGGAGGAGGAGGAAGAGGAATAAGAGGAGGAGCAGGAAGAGGAAGAGGATGAGGAGGAGAGGCTTCATGACAGAAAGAGCTGGGTCTTTAGCTTTTTCTTAAAGGTACAAAGGGACTCTGCTCCAGGGCGAATTATGACCGAGCTACCGAGGCCAATTGAACCTTAAATGTTAGCTGGTCATCAGTCATGACACTGAGGCTACGGGGAGACTTTGAGAGAGCATGATGGGTATGAATCATGAGGCAACTTTACAAATACATCGGCAAAGTTTCATCTGTGCACTTCACAAACAGAAGTTTTGTCTGCAACTTTTGGTAATTAAAAACAACATTGGGAGCCTTGGACATTAGTTTGGTTTTTACAAAAAGACGACTCGAGGCAGGATCAGAAACTCTGAAGAGAGTTTCTTTCTCTACCTCAAAGTAGTTTTTTTTCTTCCTTTAAAGTTATCTTTTAAGGCCTCCGATGATGATGAAGACCGCTCGGAGTATTCTTCACATCCTGCTGATTACACTCTGAATACTTTATTTCTCTATTATCATCCTCAGAGCTCGGCACCTCCCTGGGCTAGAGCGGACGCGGCGCTCTCTGCCATTAATCAGGTCATATTGAAACTTTCTGTCGGATCATTTTCACAGCCTGTGAGGAGTTTATGAACACCATTTTTCTTAGTGCAGTGTGCAGATTTAGTTGGTATTTGCATGTTTGTATCTCAGGTGATCAGGTAGTGAAGGTACATTTAATAAAGGAAACAAAAACAATGCTAAACAGTCGGTCCAGAATGAGACCTCCAGATAACAATGTGATGTTTTGTACCTCTGGAAACATGAAAGAGATGAATTCATCCAAACATTTTCTGCATCTGACGTTTCCTCTCACACACAGCAGCGACGTAAAGAAATGTCTCGTGCACGATCAGTTGACCCTTACAGCACGTGGACGAGAGCGTCACGGTGAGGTAACAAGTAAAGCTTCAACAAAGACTTCAGATGTGCACGACTCTCGAGTGTCGTGTCAACACTCAGTTTGAACACAGATCTAAACTCAGCAGGTTCTCTCCTTAAGACTGAACCCAGAATCTGAACGTCTCTGTTGAGTCGTGACATCTGCAGTCACATCTTTCTCTTAAAAGTCACTCAAGAAAACATTAAGACTTTTGTCGTGTTTCTGAAAGGGCGGAGTTGATATGGAGCTAAAAATGTCACCACATTGAGTCAACGAGAGGTTTCATTAAATATCCTGTAGCTCAGGTAGTTTAAATAAATATATTAAGTGACTATCAATCATAGAATGATTGTAAGACTAGTGTGAAAGGTTTCATGTTTGGAGACTGCGCCCGCCTGTCAATCAGGTCAGCTACATGCCATATTGTGAATAACTCTTATTCTTCATCAAATCAAAACTGATGAGTCATCAAAACATTCACCCCCCGTACAGTGTGTACCGATCGAGACATGAGCTAATCAGACCTATTTGGTTTTTTGAACCAGGCTGTAAACATGTTAATCTCTGCTGTAAAAACAGGCTTTTTAGAATGGGTGTGTATGTGACATCCTGTACTTCTGTAGCCAGCCTCTAGTGGACACTTGAGGAACTGCAGGATTTTACACTTGAGCATCGGCTTCTGTTTTCAACACCAGAGGCTTGGTTGAAGCACAAATATTTCTGGGGCCAAGGTTCAAAAGCACAGAAGCCCAAAGTGGACATGCATCCGAACGTTTGCTCTATTTTGTTTCCCGTGTTAACGAGTCACTTCCTGTAGTTTTCTTTAGATCTCATCTCTCTCATTTCCCGTATCCTCTGAGTCGCAAAAGCACAAAGCAAACGTCACAGAAACCAGCACCGTTATCTAGAGATACAATAAGGGGAGATCAACAACCAGAGAGCATGCATGTCAACATGAATTCAACATGAAATTAGATTAGAACACATCTGGTGATCTACTGTGATATATTCTTTAATACCTGCTTCTTTTTCTTTGTGTGCATCGACCAGCCTCCCTTTATATCCTGGACCTTGTATGTTCTTAAGTATCTAACAGAAAGAAAAGGCTGGATTTGCATAAACAGGGTCTAAAGTGTCTTCTATGTTTTCATCAAACCGAGTTTCAGACGTGAAGTCGCTCCTCAGATGTTGGGTTCATGATGTTTCTATTTACATAAACACAGTCAACACTTTTCAACCTGCTGCGTCTGATAAAACCACTTCACACCCACTCAGGTAATCAGGCAGCCATTACAGGCGGCCCAGGTGACTAAATCACACAACACAACCTGTAATCAGAGCGCCGCCATCAGACGCCTTCTGCAGGGGCGACACGGGCGCTGAACTGAAGGTTAACTATACGGTATGATTAAAACGAAGGTACAGACACTGTGTGACTTTAATATCCGACATCAGGAGTTAAAGTGTCAGTAGCTGTTTTCACATTCCTCCTCACTGGTCACGTGATTCTTTTAATATCAGATCAAATGTGCTTCAAAACTGTTAAGACTCTAGTGGACACTGGAGGAACTGCAGCTGTAAAGTTGGACATTTTAACATGGGGCTCTATGGGGACTGACTCACTGAGTGCCAGGAGGCTGAAGTGTAAATTCTGTTGATTGCGTTTTAAAAATACTTGAAGTGTAAATTCAGGTACAGTTGTGTCAGACTCAGCCTGAAGTGGAGATGTCGCTAATATTTATATCCTTTTGTCTTCAGGAGCTGCGACGTCTGAGTTAAAGCTTCAAAGTTAAACCCTAGAGTGTGACAGTTCGTAGGTTTTTGTTTTTGCATTTCATTGTTGAGGAGAAACATCTCTGATGGCAGGGAAAAAAAAGGAAAAGAACAACAGACAAGAGAAAAGTTGGCGTCCTCTGCATTTATTTTTTTCAACATTTTTTTGTCGTACTCCGTGCGAGGAGCATAAATATGTTACAGAGCGAGAACATCAGTTTGATTATTTACAAGATATAATAAATGACGTACAACTCACAATGTCTGCTTGTGTTCGGAGCGCTGAAGGAGGAGGAGGAAGAGGAGGAGGAGGAAACAACTACAGTCATTTTACCGTTCTTCTGAGAGGACACAAGCGGCCCAAAGTGAAATTGCATCAGAAACAAAAGAGTAAATGTGTCCTCGGGGCGTGGCATGATGGCAGACTGACGATACACGGCCGGCAGACGCTGCAAAAAACTCCGTTTAACTTTGAAGCAATAAATACACAGAAACACAAACATCCAGTGTCTCCAACAGGCCACTTTTCTGTAACACCAAACATCCAAAAGAGACGGAAAACTTCCAACTCAACTCGTGCTGCAGTAGTTCAGCTCAACGAGGACTTCTACATCGTCTGCCTCCAACACGGCGAGAATCTAAACAGCATAAAGCATGCTTCACTTAAGCAGGAGCAGGAGTCTCTCCCTGGAGTCATACGATGCACATCTGCTCATTCAGCATAAAAAAACCCATCAGAGTCAGAAAAAGAGAAGAACTCTTCCCCCCCCCCCCGTGTCTGAAATCAACAGAGCGAGAAACACAGAAAGATCGCAGGAAATCAAAGCGATGTGGTGTTCAGTCGACTATACTTTTACTCTCCCAGGAGGTTTTTCTCTGGGAACACTGAATAAAAAAAAAGAAGAAGACATCAGGGGAGACGGAAAACGAGCTGAAACTGGAGGATAGTTCATCAATACCGGCATAGACCTCTGCAGCAGAGATCGATCCAGCACAGTCCACAGGTGTCACGTCTGATATTTCAGAATAACAGAGCGACTCGTTCAAAGCCGAGAGGTCGACAGTGCGAGGCAAGTTAACTCCACGCTTGAGGACTTTATTATCCATCATGCTGGGAGCGGACTGAACCTCCAACACGGTTAAGAACTCCTGAAAACTAAAGCAGAGTTTGACCAACTCTGAGGCCAAATCAAAGCTAAACGTTAAAAATGTCCTCAAGCCACGATCTCCAACCGATGAGCCATGGACCAGATTTAGTTTGTGGATGATTCCGACAGAGTGAGACGCTCTGTGTTTAAACCTGCAGAAGGCAGAGTTTGGAGTTCTTCACTCCCTCTGTGTTTGAAAGTGAAAAAAACAGATACATTTTGGGGTCATGTGAACACGTTGTGATTTTCTCTGCATGGAGAAACAAATATGTAATCAGCAGTATTCAATCACTAGCTGCTCTGTGACGCTGCACTCTGGATGCTAACTAAGCTTTTCAAAGCTTTTTAAAACTGTCTATATGGCTCACAAACACTTCCAACATATTTGTGTAATTTAGACGATGTGCAGGAGATTGCCTGGAACCTTTTAAGTTTTGGTTGCTGTGGTATCGAAACCATAAACGATATTGTTAGATCCAGAAGAGGCTCATGGGAATGTGGTCACAGAATCAATGGGAAGATGTTTCCATCTTTCAGGCTGGACTAAGAGCGTTAGCAGAGCTGCTAGTGTGGCTAACGTTCACCTATAAGAGTCTGTACAGAAAACAGCGATCTTTGAACACGCCCTGGTCACGTTCATCTCAAACTATCTGCTCCTGCACAGCTCTGCTTTACAGTAAAACCAGAAGAAAAGATCTCGTGTGTGTTCCCTTCTGGTAGCCGAGAGAAAGAGGAGAGATGTGAGAGAATCTGATAAACACGTCTGCTTTTAGGAGAAGACGGATGACGGAGTAATGTGAAGGCGCCTGCAGGGAGAAACACTTTCTGTGTCTGAACTGTGTAATTATTGAATCTGTGCTGCAGAGTTCTTCTTTATTTTATCAGACGGAGACGCAGCGCGGTGAAAGACGACGTATGTGTTTCCAGCTCGTCTAGATTTGTTTGCTCGATTAAATGCGTCAAAGTTCTTCTTCGATGGTACAGATCTGCTCTTTATTCTGTTTCAGCAACAACACATTGAAGAGGCATGCACGCAAATCTGTGTGTGTGTGTGTGTGTGTTTGTACAATCCTTTAATCATGATGCCTTTAACTTCTTATACATGTAACAGCTCTAATCTGCAGCCCCGTCTCATAACAGTAAAAACTATGAGCGTGAAAGCCGCTTCGTCCAGCATTAAAACTCTCTAGCTCGCTGTTTTTCATTTTCTGAAACACGGCGGAGGAAGATCTGCCAGAAATAGATCAAGGAGAGGGGAGTCAGAGGTGAAGGTTTTGTGCGTTTCGACTCAAGTGCAACATGAGTTTGTAGGTTTGAGTAGGGTGGAGACAGAGAACTCGTGTGTGCGGTCGTACCATCATGCCACAGAGGAAGAAAAACAAACTAATGGTCTCCTGGGGGAGCGGTCTCCTCTCAGGAGCGGGGGGGGGGGGGGGGGGCTCTTGCAGTCTGTTTTCTGGAGGGGGAGGAGTGATGAGCCGCTGTGACAGACAGAGGTGTGGAGGACATGGTGAGGAGGTCCAGACTTGAGGTTTCTAGATGGGCAGCTGGAAGGTGATGTCCACCTGAGCTTCTTTAGCCAGAGAGACGATTTCAGATAGCTTTACAACCTGAGAACACAAAAAGAAGACGTCTGAGAACTGGAATATTCTTCTTTTTCCACCGAAACAAAAGGAAGTTTAGCTCCGAGTGAAAACATGTCGATATCACCCGGAGCAGGACGTGTTGGGGGTTACAGGACGCACTCACACTAGGCAATCAGTACTGAGCTGAGCACGTTTGAGCCCATAAGTCAGGTTTGTTTGACAAGTGTAAGTGCTCCGTACTGTGATCAAGCAGGCTGCACTTCCTCTGCCCTGAAACGGTTGGAAGAGACCGGCTCCAGCAGGATACGGTATGGTTGCTCTTGCATGGGTACGCAATGTGCTCATGATGTATAACCTAATCTATGTGACCATTCCTCTGGTCCCCTGTAGAGGTCGAGTGTTTAATCGAAATTTGTGCAATATTCAGAGTAGGATCGATAAAACCCAGAAGAACTTGGAGGTCTTTGAGAAAATCCAAGACTTTCTAAGACTACAACGTGATGTGATGATGTTATGTATAAGAGGTAACTGTGCTCAGGCCTGGATCAATGTGAGTGCAGGTCATTGGAGGGTTAGGGTTACCCAATCGGGCCTAGTGTTAATGCTCCCTTAGTGTCACTAGAAATCAGATCAGTTAAGACCCTGATCCTTCAAATAAAATCAGAAAAGTATAAAAAGAAGCATAGTGTGTGTGCGCGTGTGTACCATTTTGGCGGCTTCGTCCAGGTCGTCACAGGCCAGGATTTTCAGCGGACTGGCCGCGATCAGAGCTTTGGCGTCGTCCACTCTCGTTCCTTCAAAAACAAAACAAAGATGTCAACTTTGGATCAGATTAAGAGCCTTGTGGTTCATCGACACTTCGATCTGTTCATGATATTTACACACAACACAAACATATCCATTAGACACACGGCGAGAAGCTGAGTCACTGCCACGATCTCATCCCCTCACTCACATCGTGTTTTTATAAATAAATGTGATATAAAACTTTTATACTGCAGAGGTCTAATATGACTTATGCATAATGGTGGATATGATTGGCTCCCCTTCAACACACACCTCCACAGGCTAACCTCACATCATTCATTCGCTGTCGTTGGGGGCAAAGATGGCGCCATCATGCAAACAGGAGGTTTGTCTTTCTTGGGTTTTTTCTTTCCTTTTTAACTCGTTGGTTCTTCCTTTTTCTTTCTCCTCTAGAACATCTGGATATCTAAATCTGTGGAGTCACTGTGACGGGGCCGACAGAGGGCTACACAGGAAACCCGACTGGACTACAGGAAGTCTTGACAGCATCATGACCGTCAATTTTAGAACCCTTCGACTATCACCGTCTGATAGATAATAAATCCTTCTGGGAACAGATTCAGATTTCTCTTCATTGTGGTGAAACCAGCCGTTTGATTTAAACTGTTAATTTTTTATTTACGGAGGTTTCTCTCTCTCTCTCTCTCTCTCTCTCTCTCTCTCTCTCTCTCACACACGGCTGAAAGCTGCCAGGAAAGATGCACTCAGTGTTACTGAGAGCGTCTGTTTCTGCAGGAGGTGTGTTCACAGTCTGCAGAGAGAATCTCTTGTGACACTGAGACTTCAGGCAGTCGTCTGATCACCTGGAGAGAGTCAGGCCGTTAAACAGAGAGAGAGGAAGAATAAGAACTCCTGCAGTTTGAAATATCGATTAATCTGAAGATAGAATATAAGCATTGTCTGAGGATTAAAAACAACAAATCCCCTGAAAGTAGAAAATTCAAAACGATGGGAAGGTGAAGACTGTTCTGAGTTCATCTCGACATTCAGTCAACAAAGAATTGCGAGCGTTAAATGTTGCGTCCCGCTGCTTCGTGTCGTTTGTGAGGAGTTAGGATTCTCCAATAGGAAACATCTGAATCAGGCTGATTTTGTTGCTGACGCTCGCTCGCATCACATGCTGTTAGGCTATGTAATGAAATATCAAACTGATCTACAGAATTGTTTTTTAGATTTTAAAATGAACACGATCTTATTCAATCTGACCCAGAGAAATGACTATAAAACATTTATGTGAGACTGTATAAGAAATAAGAGATTATCTTCGACCTGTGTGTGTGTGTGTGTGTGTGTGTGTGTGTGTGTGTGTGTGTGTGTGTGTGTGTGTGTGTGTGTGTGTGTGTGTGTGTGTGTGTGTGTTGTACCTTGTAACCGTACTACAATGGGGATCTTGAGGTCCAGGTCCCTCACTGCCATGATGATGCCCTGAGCAATGACATCACACCTCATGATGCCGCCGAAGATGTTGACGAGGATGGCCTGAACCTGAGTGACAAACAGAACACACAGGGTTAAACACACACACGGTGAAATAAACGTGCATGCGCACGCACGCACGCACGCCAACATTGAGGAGCGCTGCCACTCAGCGTCTCGAGCTGAAGAGTTTTCATTTTTTACAACTTTGATGCTCGCCCAAAGGCCACGAAAAAAGGCGTTGCGCAGCAGAGAAGAGCGCCCGCTAAGCGCCCAATACCATAAGGACACAATGGTTTTAGTGGCAGCGTGTCTCTGTGTGATCGTGCCCTCTTTGTGCACTTTGTATCATTGGTTGTTGTTGTCTTCAGAGAAAGATCAGCAGGCGTTTTCTCACCTTTCTGTCCGAGGTGATGAGCTTGAAGGCCTCGGTCACCTGATGAGCTGTGGCTCCACCCCCTACATCCAGGAAGTTAGCCGGAGTGCCGCCGTGCAGCTTGATGATGTCCATGGTGGCCATGGCGAGACCAGCTCCATTCACTACAAACAACAACAACAACAACAACAACAACCGGTCAGCACCAACAGAGGTGAGTCTCAGAGATAAATCATAATCAGAGATTCTCTTTTTATTTTTAGGTTCTAAGGAGAGTATCTCACTGTACAATAATAAGAGATTAAGTATGTGTAAGAAATGTTGATCTTTTGTCTCTGCTGAGCACTGACCCAGACAGCCGATGGTCCCGTCCAGGCCGATGTAGTTGAGGTCAGCCTTGGCGGCCTGTCGGTCTCGGGGGTCCTCCTGGGTCCAGTCCTGCATCTCGAACACCTTCTTCTGTCGGTACTCTGCGTTGGAGTCAAAGTTGATCTTGGCGTCCATGCACATCACTGAAGACAAACACAGAACAACATTTTTAACTCTCAGCGTCCTGCAGCTGAAGGTCATGGGACAGTTTCTGTTTGCAGCAGAGTGTGTGTGTGTGTACCGATGCCAGATGAGTCCTCCACCATGGGGTTGATCTCGACCATGGATGCGTCGTACTTGATGAACACGTTGTAAAGTTTGATCATGCTCTCTGCAGCCTCGTTGATCAGAGCTGGAGGGAAGCCCATCTTCTGCGCCACCTGCAGGAGAAGAAAAATACTGTTACTACTATTAACGCTGCACACAAAGGTCGGGAATCTAAACGGAGACTGAATAAAGGCGGGTTCATCTTCCAGGGTCGTCATTACACTTTCGTTTGGCTTAGCATAAAGACTGGAAACAGGTGAAAACTGCAAGTCTGGCTTGATCAAAACCATGTGAAGTTATTTTACTCTGTTTTTGTGACATCTCCTCAGGGCTCCTTCTAAACCCGCCCCCTCCTGTCACGGCTCATTCAAACGCCCTACACACAAACAGAAGCGCCACCGGATCACAACTCTTATGTGACCTCATGTCTTATTCAGCGGTGTGAAAACACAGAAAAACATCCCACTGAATGTAAAAAATTAAACACAACAACCATGGCGCCACATTTCAGACCCTTCAGCTCCCTCAGTCGACTCCATCTCTGAATGGACCCTAACCCAAAGTGTCACATATTATGTAAAATCCACTTCACCATGTTCCTCTAACTCTAATATGTGTCTATATTCTGTCTACAAACCCCCCCAATAATGATGAGAAAAGTCCATCCTCTCCATCTTTTGCCTGCTCCACTTTTCAGAAAATGTGTGCTCAAACAGGCTGTTTGGAAATGTTCCCTTCATGACATCACAAAGGGCAGTAACCCCTCCCCCAGGTGGGTGACACTCCCACAGCTAGGTGTTTGTTCTGCCCTCTGAGTCTGCCTTCTCACAATAAACAATAGGACATGGAGCGAGAAAGCCTGAGACACCTAAGACCTTCCAGAGAGGGGGCGTGGTCAGACACAGCTCATTTACATTTAAAGGTACAGACACAGAAACAGCCTGTTCTGAGCAGGGCTGAAATAGAGGGGTTTATAGGCATGATCAAATACAGGATCAGAGTGGATTTAGAACAAGAAACTTCACACACATGTTTTGAGGAGCTCTGAGACTTATTGTAAATGGTTGTTGCTTCATTCTCAGTGGACTCAAATAAAGGAGTAAAAGGACATCGATGAACTTCCATCCACTTAGAGAGACGGGCAATCAGCACCTCTTCACTCGGTCAGATATATCGAGCCTCTGCTCTCACTGTGACATCAGACATGTTCAATATCTAGAACTGACAGAACAGAGAAGAGAAGCTGATGTTGAAATACATTCGAAGAGAGAGACATGAAAAAGATAGAAGGTGTAGTGTTTTCACGATACCAGAAGTCCTAGACTCCCAATGTCGGGAAATGTCTTGTTGTTAATGTATTTGTGAAATTTAAACAGGAGTTTGTCTGCAAGTTATGATGAATTGATCCGTCTCCTACACACCTTTCCTAAGCAATAGATCTTTATTACAGTTTCTGTGCTTCTCAATAAGATGAGATTAGTAAAGGAGCAGTATGTAACTCTGACACTAGTGTTTAAAATGGGTACTACAGTCCAAATTCTAAACATTGTAGAGAGCTGTCTTCCCCCGCCCCCTCCTCTCTAGAGTCGATGCTCATGCAGGTTGCCATGTGGTGGACACTGAAGCTTCAGTGTTTATCCAGCTCTGCATCGGTCTGTAAACCTTTCTGTGTTCTAACCTCTCTCCATTTTTCAAAAGCATCTCCAATATTGATCCTAGTTTGAGCACGTTTCTGCTCGTGGAGCTTATTAGAAACATGCAGAGGCTTTTTAGGTCGGGTACAATCACTTCTATCTGAACCACTTCTCTTGCCCGCTTCCATCGCTGCAACACCTGTTGGTTTGACCTGATAACTGGTCTCATATCTGGCAAACCGAGGGGCATCCAAAACGGCCGTGTGGGGGTGCCTTAAAACCGCCTACCTTCTCTGGTCCAAACAATCCAGAGCATTCAGGACCAGAATCTAAAGTTAGAAGGAGGACATACTGACTGCTGCATTGTTGTCAGAGAAGCCAGCACTTCAACATAGCATGTTTCCTTAATGTCTGATCATATAGTAACGTACCTTTATCATTTCACTCTCTACACATCTCACTGGTTGGACCTTAAACTATTAAGCCTGAAAATCTTAAACTGTGTTTTGGAAAGCAACTGCCAACCTGCCCACCGTGGTGAGAGAATAAAAATAGTTTTTCTATAAAGACGAGGGTCAGGAGGTTTGGTATTTTTGGGCAATAATAAAACTAAATGATAAATGTTGAATTATCTTTTCAAAAAGGAAACAGCATGAGGGTCGAATAAAGCCTGCTGAGGAGGAGTGAAGGAGTTTAGACTTTGGAGGAGAGAAATGGGGCCTGTGTGCTGCTAAGAAACTAGTTATATAATACACACACACACGGTTTTCTCTGCGGTCAAAACTCAGCCAGTCTGTTTGCGACTCGTTGGGTCTTTATTGATTTTACCTTGACAGCCTGCTCCATCTTTATTCCCTCCACGATGTCGATGGGCTCTTTCACGATGGCGTCCGGGTTTTCTGCCGCCACATCCTCGATGTTCACGCCCCCCTGAGAGCTGCCAATCAGCACGGGGCCCTGAGGGGGGGGGGGAAGGTTGTTAATCCTCCAAGTGTTAATCAACCTGTTTTTACATATGCACTGCTTCAATATTCTCCTGATCTGGTTGTTCACACATGCACCTCACAGTGGGACACTATCCCTGTCAGACAGGAGGGGGGGAGGTCTCCTGAGGTAAGACGTGACTTTAAAAAAAACCATGCAGAAGTAGGGTCTGAAGCGACAGAGTCCTCTAGACCAGTGGTTCCCAAAGAGACACTAGGAGGGGGGTCGCGAGTTGCCTTCCAAAAACAAATGCAAACTGGAAATGACTTGAAATGATATATTTTACCTATTATTGTGAAATCACATGCAAAAATGTTGTTCAATTAGTTTAAGGCTGCTGTATTTTTTATTGTTGTTCTAATGTCAGTGTTTAGATAGGCCCATTAGTGCGTGCTGCTGTGTGCACCGTTATGCTTTAACCACTTCTAGGGACAGAAGGGGTCCCCGGTGTCACGCATCGTTATTTTGGGGGTCGCGGGATGAAAAGTTTGGGCACCCCTGCTCTAGATGACGCTATACTGAGAATATATCTGTATTTATATCAATGCCATGTGTAGTTCAACAGAATCTCATGATGATGTCCTTAACACGCTCACTAGTCACCGAGGGTTTTCAATTTATCGACCAAGCTGCTGAGAGTAACTGCAACTGAAGACATTGTTGTAGCGTGTCAAAGTGTCTGCAGCGATTAGTGAACGAGTGACAGCTCTGTGTCCAAGATATTCATGACATCACAATGAAGCCACAAAAACACTCAGCTGAGGGGAACGGCTGGAGAATATCTTTGCCTTAAGAAACAACTTCATGGACACAAATGTCCTTCTTTAAAATCAAAATAAAGATCTGAAGAGTAAGAAGAAGCTGGTTTCTACACAGTCAACCAGTTAAATCAACATAAAAACACATAACAGACTTTGTTAACGTTACATTAACTCAGCTGAATAACTTCACAAAACTCACTGGAAACACAACAGACACAACCTGTGCTGTCTGTTATTATCTTTAGTGATGTGCTGCCATCTAGTGGTGTAACACAGAACAACTATTCAACATGTCTGTGGAAACCACTCATAAAGGGCTCTCACACTTTCAGAAAACGCCTGAAAATCTCCCGGTATTTCCAGGAGGAGCTTCATGTGTGAACACAAACAGCTGAATGTTTCTCTGAGAAGTGAAAACGGCTATAAGGGTAAGAGCGTGCACATGTTCTTATTTATTTGCTTCCCGTTCCTACGTATTTGTCCTTTAATCGGAGATGTTAATCAAGTGATTTGTGCAGAGGGTGCAGAGCTACAAATGAAGATTTAACCCTTTCAGTATCTCAACGTGTGGGTCTCCTCACCTGGAAGGCGCGCTCCATGGTGATGGCGAAGTAGTACTCTCTGCGTGGATACCTGCGCTCGCAGATGAACACCTGGTTACAGATACGACCCGCCTCCCCCGTCTGCTTGGTGTACAGCTTGCGACCAATCATCTGAGAGGAAATGTCTCGAGCTTCCTCTGGCCTGGAGAGAGACAGGGAAGGTGAGAAGAGATGCGATAAAATAAACGGATTCTTTATCAAGTGAATCGATAAACTGTTATTTTTTAAGAGCTTTATTTTGAAGGGCGATGAAAAGGCAACAGCAGCCCCTGATTATTAAGAGGAGGAAACATGATCAGCTTCTGTTTTGGTTCTTTCAGAGCATCCTAAAGATAATCATGTCTCATCCTCTCCGCAGCTTGTTCCTGTCACCGTGGTGACATTTTGGAGAGGAGCCTCAGACTGTCAGCTGTGCCAATTAAAACTAAAGCCACACTCACATTGTTACAAAATCCTGCTGCACCTCAAGTATTTGAAAAGTCAAGTTCAGACTGTGTTCCTTCAGTTCTTATCTCAGAGAGCAGCTGTTTTAAATTATTCTAAGACACGCTCAGGGGAAACTGGCAGCTCTGATGAAAGAGACGTTTCTGTTTTTTAGGGGCTTTTATTTTTTCAAACTGGTTTCTGCCCGACTGATATCAAATCTCTCTGAAGCAGATCGTAGATTTCTGAATATTGACGTCTCACTGAACTGAACTGAACTGAAGATAAGTCAGGACACGGTTTGATCATAAACTACATGTTCAGGTTCTGATTTCTTCATATTATTATGCTCCTTTTATTTTGAAGGAGCCAGAAATGGATTCAGACGGCCATGTGGACTGTTGTGCCTTCTCTCTTCTTGTGTTGCAGGTTCCTGTAATTGGAAGTCATGGCTGTCCAATCAGACTACATGTGTGGGTTCTCTCCGGGTACTCTGGCTTCCTCCCACAGTCCAAAGACATGCTTGTTAGGTTAACTGGTGACTCTAAATTGCCCGTAGGTGTCAATGTGAGTGTGGCTGGTTGTCTGTCTCTATATGTCAGCGCTGTGATTGGCTGGTGAGCAGTCCAGGGTGTAACCCCGCCTCTCACCCAATGACAGCTGGGATCAGCTCCAGCCCCCCGGTTTACTATCAATTGCTTTTCGTTTTTGATGGAAACAAATCGCACTAAGTTTTAACAAATCGTCCCTGGATTGTATTATTTTGTACGGGAGAAGAGCACACCCGCAGCTGTTACCATAGCAACCGCTGCAGATAGGATGCTGATGTCTGTAAAGGGGCTTCGATGACAGAAACTAAGTTACTCACGAGTAGACGATCCGCACTCCTCCCTTCAGTCCGCCCTCGAAAGTCCCCTTCCCTCTGCCACCGGCCAGAACCTGAGCTTTCACCACCAGGTCCTTTGAACCTAACACACACACACAAAACACACACACACACATTAATATCAGTGATACAGAGAAAGAGAGGACTGGTGTCTCACAGGTGTCACACACAGGTGTCAATCAAACAATTCCTAAACAACGAGCGATAATAAGACATTTCATGAGTAAAAGAAGAGGAACAATGATCTACTTATAATTTGGTTTTAAGTTGAAACAACCTCCTGAAATCTTTCCACTTGTAGAAGTTTAATCTGTCACTCTTTATTTAAAGGCACACTATGTAAACACCACCACCCGACAAGTCGATTTATTGTAAAATTAGAGACGCAGATGTTAAAGTTTAACAATAAAATAGGACGCGTTTGTTTCTACTCTGTGATTTTACAAGTGAAGTGTAACGTGATCGCAGTGAAGCAGCACGAGTCTATGTTTAGACGGTGTGTCTGTGTGTGATATTTAAAACCTGCTCACACAAAGGTCAAAGGTCAGGACGAGTCAGCAGCACACAGGCTCTAATGAACACAACCTCACTGCGTGCGGACTCGGAGCTCTAAAACGTACTCAAACTTTCACTCATTAAAAACGCATCACTTAAATTTTATACTTTAATTGAACTGTTCTCTGTTTTACGTCTCCAGTCTGAGGATCTTTTCTTACCGCCGGTTCTAAAGGTCAGAGCTGAGCTGAGGAGAAAGCGTTAAGGGCGCACTCACACCAGTGGTATCTGTCATTTTAAAAAAGGGAGCTAGCATGTCCAAATGTCTTGTAAATGTATTCTTGATCAGACTGTCAAGGTGTTAGCACATCTTTTGTCTTGTTAATGACACCCGCCTCATATGCTGCCAACATTTCTGAGCCTCTCTATAATCTGTTTACATGTTTGATATCATCGAGTTATCGCTCAGTGCAGCGTTTACCGATTTGCTTGGCCACACTGTAGGCCTCATCGGAGGAGCTGGCCACCATGCCGGCAGGAACAGCGATGCCGGCCTCCTTCAGCAGCCCGATGCTCATGTACTCATGAAGGGACAGGTTCCTCTGCTGCTGCTGCAGGTGGGGGGGCTGCACCTGGGACACATGGCCTCCAAGAAGACCTGAAGTACCGCCGAGGACCTGAGAGAACGGGAGGAAAGACACACAAATTCAGAAACACTGTCTTTCCCACAAAAGCCGTTTGGTGTCTGTGAAACAACAAAAACAGAAGATCATCAGAGAGCTACAGGTGGAGATGTTTTTAAACACACAACATCCAGAGCAGGAACAACATCTAGAGTTCTGTTTTTGTTCAGGGAATTGTTCGCAGTCAGCAGGAGAACTAAAGCAACACCAGAAACCTGATGAAGGAAATGAAACCATCAGGATCAGCTGGAGACACACACACACACACACACACACACACACACACACACACACACACACACACACACACACACACACACACACACACACACACACACACACACACACACACACACACACACACACACACACACACACACACACACACACACACACACACACACACACACACACACACACACACACACACACACACACACACACACACACACACACACACACACACACACACACACAATGCTGGTCTGTGCAGTGACAGCACCACGCTAGTGACTGTGTGCATCCATCAGTGATCACACACAAACTGCGGCACGCTCTGAACTAAACAGGAATAACAGACTTGAAGGGCAGCACTCACAACACGTCAATAAGGGCGGGGAAATTAATTGAGTCATTTTAAATTACGATCTTTAGGGTTAGTGTTAGTTGTCTTCCCACGATCATCGAGATGAAATGATTACTGTGCTTCATGCCGTGTTACGTTGTTTTGTCCACAGACGAATCAAACCAAAGTGAAGATGTCTAAAGGGTTAAAAATATAACCCTAACCCGCTTCAGCGTCATTTTTCAACACCGGAGGTTGCTGCTTGGTCAGAGCATTGCTTACCTAGAGGCAGAAGCTCAATAAGCTTATTTATTCATTTAAAAAAAAAAAATCAAGACAGACGTGCCTCAAACATGATGCAGCAGCTGCAAGAATTCAGTGTTTTCACTTTTCTAATTAACATTTCATTCATGGCCACAAAGCCCAAAGTAAGACAGTTTAACTCCCCAAAATACTCTTAATTCAGACTATGGTTTTCTAAATCTGAAGACGTTCCTGTTTTAAATTTGTTCTTTTCATTCTCGTGTAATAAACAAGATTCAGAGAAAAGTCACAAACTACGACGACACTCTGAACCACATTCAGGTTAAATTACTTTTTGTTTGTTATCTTGAGAACTCCTGACATGTGTGTTCATCTTGTGTGTTCCTCAAAAAGTATCTCACACTTAATAAGCTAAATAAGCCACGTGAAGGTCACGAATAAGACGTGTGACGGTCAGTTATGTCATCTGAATCTCTACTAACAGGGGGGAGGAAAGTCGATAAGAAAAATAACAACAAATCCAGTTTGTGCTGGAGATCTGTTCATTCAGGCTGTGAATTATTAATACGAGGTTGTTGTTTCTTGAAGCTATTTTTTGGGTAATTTTTGTCTTTGTTCTTTCCGGACAGCTGAAGAGAGATGGGACATATTGAGAGGAGAGAGTGAGGGGGGATGACACGAAGCAGAGGGCCGAGGTCGGAACAACAGTACCCCATTAATATGATTCAATATTTTCATCCTATCCGTGTCTGACAGATATGTCTCGTGTGATGCTGCTGCTGGTTGTTGTTTCTCTGACGACCTCTCACACCTGTTTGTTTTCATTATGTCTTTGATTACCTGATCATACGATAAATACAGCAGCCTTCAACAACAGACAAAAAAAATATTACAGATACAGAACAAGGTTAAAACAGCTTTATTCCAACCATAAGACTTCACAATGAATCATACGTTTTTAAATAATGTCTGTTATTTTAATCATAATAAAGGTGCTTCACTTCATCAGACAGGCGTGTAGGAGAGGAATGAATACATCATCCTGCACAGGAGGCAGCTGTAGCTCAGTTGGTCCCCAGCTGAGCAACATGGCCGATGTGTCCTTGGGAAAGACACTTAACCCTGAATTGCTCCCGCTGCTTCGGTGGGGGTGTATGAATGGATTACTGTTGTACTTAATCTCTAATGTAAGTCGCTTTGGATGAAAGCGTCTGCTAAGTGAATTGTAACATGGCCTACATTTTACAAAAAGTTTCGACAATGTCCAGGTATTTGCCTTCATTTCCTGGCCATTAAAAACAAGACACAACCCAACACTGGGTGCGTGGGACTTCTATTTTTGTTGCTATGGTTTCAAAACAGATGTCTATTAATTGATTTTTACGAGCATCACGTCAAAGTTTTTAAAATTCAGGAGACTCATGTTTGTCTTAAATTCATTTTTATTTCTCTCCTGTCAAGAATCCCCCCCTTTCCTTTCTTATAAATACTCAACTTGCCTTTGGAAGCTCTAAATATGAAATGAAAGACTTCTTTGAGATGTTTCTCAGGCTTAGTTGTTCAGAATGAAAGCTACAGATTGATGATGATGTTCCTCCCTCTGTGACATGTAGGTACATGTAAAACAATGACAGCTTGTGAAGGCAAGAGGCATCCTGTTAGTACATCTCTGTGCAGTGAGAGCTGTTGTTTGTGCTCACTGAGGCTGATAACTTCCACACTGGAGACAGCAGAGGGACAGATGAGCTCAGCGGCTAACAGCTGCCCGGTGCTGGAGGTCACTGAGCTGCGGCTAACTCTACTAACTATGAATGTTACCATCCAGATTAAATATGTTTAACAGCGAACTGGTGTGTAAGAAGTAACTGAGGTTAGGTCGGTTTGTTTTGAGTGTGCTAGCTGATGTATTTTTTGCTTGGTCACATCCTCTCAGCAGCAGTGACAGCCCCCGGCCGCGCTAATGACGCTAGCACCGCGCTAGTTAGCATGTTAGCAAAAACAACGGAAACCCAATGAATGCGTGCTAATGTCAAATTTGACCCTGTCGGAATCGGTTAAACAGCATCTTCACTAAAGGTGGAGCGCTGTAACAAACACCTGGCCATAAAGCTGAGGTCCTTCGCTTCAATATGGACACACACTCACCTTTGAAGCGGAGCTGATAGTGTTTCTGGCCCCTGAGTTTCTCAGGCTAGCCGTCAAACGGCCGCAGATCAGGGACGTCGCCATGTCTCCCTCTACAGCGGAGAAATAACGCGCATGCGTAGTGAACAGCAAAGAAGCCTTCAATGATGCTACTTTCAAGTACCGTCGGAAATATGATCTCATTGCAATATCTAATGAATTCGCATGTCTAGGAGACTAAACAGTTTCTGAAATGAAAAGTGTAACACAAGAAGGAACTTATTTATTGTTGGATGTTTTTTGTGAAAGGAGAAAAACACATATTTTTAATAACTGAACATCTTCACATACCTGCCAGGAGCTCCATCCTTTGTGAGTGTAAACTCTCTTCTTATTAACATCAAGGCAATGTAGGTGACCTATCTATCGTTTGACTTAACTGTTAAAACATATTTAAAACGTTATCACCCAGAGAACACGAAACGGATTTTGGAGAATATTTATTCTTAGATTTTGCAAGCTGTCCCTGAATGCAGCAGTGTCATGGCCTTGGCACAGTGTAAATATAGCCATAAACTGCCCTTTAACCTAAATTCTTTAGTCATTACAGCAACAAAACAATTAAAATGTTAATCAAATGAAACTGATTAACGTCATATTATTTAGAAGTTGATCAGATTTAATTGGGATATAATTTTTTTCAGGTTTTGAATCAACATGTTTTACTCTTCTTTCTTTCTTTCTTTAAGTCATATTTTGCACCTTGTGTCTGAACTGTTCACCAAGTCAAACCATTATAAACTATATTAAAGAAATAAATCTTAAGCCCATATTTGATCTTTTATGTAAAACATATTAAACATTAACTGACATTTTGCTTTCAGGCAGCGTGGCCTGCTGGATGTATTTTCACCTGGGACGGACGACACATATACGCATATAAAACATATATGTATACAAAAGTACCACATTGTTATCTAAAAGCAAATACTTGAAACATACTCAAGGTGTAATATGAGGAAGTGATCTTCCATATTCTGTTGATTTGCTGACGTACATGTAATGTGTTGGTGAAATCATCATCATTGTCTGCATGTGAGCGACTAATGATCAGACATCATCATCCTAATGTGCAATATCTACACCGTTCAACACTGCACCTGTATATCTGTGAATATTGTTTATATTAAATTCCCTGAGCTTGTACATAGCTTATTATTCCTTCAGATACTCTGCACTTTGGTTCTTATTTTATATTCTATGTATTTCTATATTTCCTTCTTCTTCTATTGTGTTTGAGAGCTACTGTAACAACCAAATTTCCCCCAGGATTAATAAAAAAATTCCGCTTCTGAAATTAAAAACACATTTAAATAGTAAATTCATTAACAGAAAGGCTTTTACATATTCAGATCGAGTGCACACTATCTGACTGATACATAAAAGTATGTGGTGGAAATGCTGCTCCTCCTGGGGGATTCTGAGGCGTTCCCAGGTCAGACGTGATATATAATCCCTCCAGTGAGATCTGGGTCTACCCCGGGGTCTCCTCCCAGATGGGTGTGCCTGGAAAACCTCCAAAGGGAGGAGTCCAGGAGGATCCTGATCAGACGCCTGAATCCCCTCAGCTGGCTCCTGTTGATGTGAAGGAGTAGCGGCTCTACTCCGAGCTCCCCCTCAATGTCTAAGCTCCTCCCCTCTCTCGAAGGCTGAACCCAGACACCCTCCAGAGAAAACTCATTTCAGGCGCTTGTATCCGCGATCTTATTCTTTCTGTCACTACCCAAAGCTCATGACCACAGGTGAGGGTTGGATCCAATGCTCTCGAAGTGAAAACACAATCAAGCGCACAAGCTTAGACATCATGTGTATTCAAAAAGTGTTTATTTACAAGGCGGGTATGTACAGGCGTATGTACACAAGAGGTTAATCTGGACAACATGCTCCAACTAACACATATGAAACATAACGTCACACATTTATTTCAAACACGAGTCACCATCGAGGACGAGAGCTCACATTCTGGGTTTGGTTTCTGATTGAGCCTCAGTCTGGGCTCAGAGCTCGACGTCATCTTCATCAGTTTGTCCTTTTCTTTCAGTTTGTTTTAAACTTTATGCTAACTGCATTTAGTCAAAGGTTTTCAAAAATCCTCATTCCAGCTCCATGATAAAAACCTTAACGGTTTTGTTTTAACCCACACTAAGTGTTGAATCCAGAAGTGGTTAAACAATCTATTTCTGTTGACAGGACTCCAGGAAGTCTGTGCATTCATGAAGCTAAAGTTCTTACTAAAATCATCAATTGTCTTTTTCCCAAATCAGTTCTTAAACTGGTACAAAAAAACAGGATATAAGACATTTAATTTGTAACTTCAGCTGCAGATTTTTGTTACAGTTTGTCAAAGCTAGGTTGCCTGTTTCCAGATTCAAGCTAAGGGAGGCTAACCGGCTGATTCCTTAAGTTAATCGGCTCATCTGAGGTTGGTGTTGATCGTATCATTCACACACAGAAACCCTCACACGCTGCTTCATTCCCTCCGCGATGTGCCGCCAGTAGAATCTCTCTGAAAACGTTTTCTGGGGGAGAAGATTTGTCGACTCTTTTGAGCTTCAAATTCTCTGCACATTAAATCCTTCAGTATGACCCGGATTATCTCTTTGGAGAAAGGCAGGCTATAACATCTATAGGCTATAACGGTTAAACACCCGGATCTTTATCACACAAAGAGCCAGACACAGAGTGGGGAACAAAACGACGGCTGTCCTTCAGATGAAATCCACAGAAGAAGACTTGTGATGCTGATATGAGCAGTCCACACTCATACAGCCTTCTGTTTTAATCTCACTGCTGCTTTTAAAGCTCTCTAAATGAAATGGCACTTTTAAAAAAAATGAAATAGAGTCCTGAAGAGCTGAGCTGACATCATGGTATTAAATGACGGTTTAAAAATTGACTGCAGCCTCTGTTTTTATCTTTAAATTAATTTCTTTCCATTTTAGGAAGAGCTACTCTGTTACTGTCAAATCAAATCTTAAACCCAGACTGAACTTCAGCAGCGGAGACGTGCTGCAGCTCAAAGTTTACCTGCAGAAAACCATTATAAAATATCAGACTGGTCCTTTGAATCAAGTTCTGTCCTCCCATGAGTCCAGCTCGCGGCTGCAATATAAATGACCAGAGAAGAAGTTGGTGACCCCACACACACACACACACAAACACACACACTCTCAGTCTCTGTGGTTCAGTCCGAGTCGCTGCTGCTGCTGGAGGAATCCGTCGACATGGCCTCCACGTCGTCCTCGTTCTCCTTGTTGTGACCCGGAGGCTCCAGGCCGAAGTCGTTGCCGTGGTGAGGGGGCAGCATCCCCACGGAGACGTCTGAGGATTGCCAGGGGTAGTGAGGCGTCAGGACGTCTGAGGAAACAAGAGGAGAGGGTGAATCATGTATCTGCTCTGAGCCGAGTCCTCAGGATCCACCAGAGGCCTCAGAGCCAATCAGGACTCAAAACTGAGCGAGAGGGAGATTTCTCCAGCAGCTGAAGAGATGATTCGTAAAGTCTAAAAAGTGGATTTGTGTCAAATGACGATGGATGGCTGAAACGGCTGATTGTCAAAGAAGCTGATATGAAAGCTCCTGTGAGGATTCTCTATGAGCTACAAACTCAGTCAATAACTGACGGACTCACCTGGAAGCCTCCCAGCAGCCAGAGCGTCACCGGGCAGGTGGCCGTTCACGCCGTTGGTCGGAAGGTTGGCCATGTGACCCAGCATCCCACTGCGCATCTCCAGGTCTGTGGGGTAGGGTCTGCGAGGATCACCTGAGAACAACACGTGTGTTAGCAGGTGAGAAGAACAAGAACATGAGACACATTAGGAGGAGCAGACAGAGGTTCCTACCTGGGACCCAGTTTAAGGGAGCACACACAGCGTTACTCGCACTGATCCTGTGAGCGTACTTGATGATTTCTTCTGAGGAGATGCTTCCTGCAGAGAACAAGTGAACCATGTGAGTTCATACACCAACATCAGACACAAAACCAGAGTTCTCCATATCCAACAGACTGCCAGACAGGTGTCTTCTTCACTCACCTTTCCTGGCTTTATCGATAGATTTTAGTTTTTCTTTGGCCTGGTAAACTGCAGTGGCCTAAAAAAAGAAGAAGAAGAAAAGATTTAATTTGGATCAACAGAAGAAGCTGCAATGATCTTCAGTTGAATGATTGGAACAGGAACAACTTCACTCAACACTCTCGCAGATAGGATGTGGTGGGAGCTGCACAGCAAGGTCACGCTGTGTCTCACTTTCCTGAGCTCTACTTTGTTTAAAGATCTACCGGTACATATCGAGATTTTTAAACGCAGTCTTAAAACTCATTTATTCAGTCTGGCTTTTATATAGTGTTTTATATCAATTTAAATCTTAACATTACTGTATTGTCTTTTTATCCTACTTCAATTTTAAATATTTTCCTCTTATGTATTTATTTTAATATCTTGTTGCTTTTATGTGTCATATTTTATTGTATTTTATTTTTATACATATATTTTATTTCTAATTCTTATTGGTGTGCATTAGTCTCTCAATGATTTTATCAATGATTTTATAAACTACTTATTGTCAATAACTTTTCTGCACTCTTGTTAAGCACTTTGAACTGCAATTTAATTTGTCTGAAAGGTGCTGTATAAATAAAGTTTGATTGATTGATTGATCAGAAAGAGCGCTCTAGTTTGTAAAGACATGTCCGACACAGCAGCAGAAATGTGTGTCGGGTGCGTGAAGTGCTCGTTATAGAGCTGCAGCTCCTGGACGAGACTAAACTCTTCCACATCCTGTCATGCCCTGAGGATTTCATGAACGCACACCCTGTGCATGTTGAATATCAAGATAGCAAGGAAATGAAACTGTGGATTTGGACCCACCAGGATGTGTTCGGCCTCCTTCAGCTGCTTCTGGAGCTGCTGAATGTCGCTATCTCTCTTCTCCACCTCCTTCTCCAGCAGCTGCATCTCCTGGTGCACCTTCCCCTGCTGCTGAGCCACCTCCATCAGCTCCTGGAACTCCCTGTCCCTCTGCACCAGCAGCTCCAGGACCTGACGAGAACACACACAAAGTTTTATCAAAGTTATTCACAAGAATAAAGTCAAAAGGAGATGACAATACTCCCTTTGAACTTTTCACGTCTGTCGTTGGATGTGGACTGGAGACGGGCCTTTACAGCTATTTTAATACCGACTGGCGGGTCACCCAAACAAGAAGCCCTCGCGTTAAAAATGTGATACAACATAAGGTGTGTGGCGTCAATACAAGGACAGAAACATTTGTAAATACAAGTATAAGAGAAATCATTTGGACTATAAAAGAAGAAACTATGCATATACATTAACACATCATGCAAAACTGTGATGACCGATCAGCATTGAATGTAAACTGGGGCCGGTTGAGTCTTTACAGTCATCATTATGGATCTGGACTTTATATTTACATTCTGTACGGTTAGTTTTTTTTCTATGACTGTGTGTATTGTTTCACCTGAGTGTCCTCTCCGGGCTGGGGAAGTTTCTGACTCCTGGACAGAGCCAGCATCTCGATGAGCTCCCTGAAATAATCAAAACAAGATAAACAAGCTGAAAGTTAGAGAACAAACTAAGTGTCTAGTTTATCAGCTCACACGTGTTGAAAAATTGTGTACGAGACTAGTTAGTGTGTAAAATGATGTATTGCATTTCAATAGTTTGTCTATTTATGTACCTGAATTGGACACTAGATGGTGATAATTGGTCAGCTGTTAATAGGTCACGGGTTAATTTATTTATTTAAAGGGACAGTGCGCATTAATGAACACAAACATGTTAATATGCCAGACTGTAGCCGTGGCTTGATTGCTATCTGTAGTCGCTTGGCAGGTCGGTGGTTCACACGTCTACAAATGTACATAAAATCACAATGACAACATGAACTAAACATTAGTCAACGGACTAATACCAGCATGATAAGTGGCTTTGTGATGTTCAAAGCAAACCAGGATAAAGTGACCGTCAGAGTTAAAGTTTCTGCTACAGGAAGGTAAAGTGTCAAGAGAATTAAAGTGCCCAAGTGCCAGAGTATTAATGCACATGAATATGACGTTTTGGTGTAAATCTCACATTAGCCCTGGAGCCTGTAACTTTAAAGCGCTGGTGTTTTTGCACATTGACCTACTGCACCAAGTTTGCATATTGTCAGGTGGGGGTTATTTCTGTAGTAGATGAACAATGATGAAATTGTGAAACAGACTGTGGATCATCTTAGATTTATTCAGCCATGGTCAGACAACACAGAAACACAACACACATGGCTGACAAAGTGCAGACCATCGCTGACCCATGCTTACCAAGATCTCACAATCATTGACAATCATTGGCAAAGTGGCCACCGTGGGCAAAATGGCAAAATGGCAAAGTCTTCATCACACAGTGTGGCTTATATTCTGCTAGAAGGTACAGCCCACAAATTCCTTTCCATTTGGGTACATCACTATAAAACAATAAAGATGACATGACACTGATTTGTATACGTAACAGATGTAGACTCTCTGTCTAGCAAACAGTTGTTGACAACATATGGTTGGCTCCTATCCAAATATAGATCTGCTACAATTACATGTTTCACCATATATGGTTACAGCTTCACAGACCCAAAAGAAGAATTACCCTAAGATGGTTGACACAATTTAAAGATATATCCACAAAATGATCAAGATGAATGAATCCATGAAAATACGTACTAACACATATATAGACATGTGTATTCACATATTATTGCACTGGATGCATGTATTTAGGCATAATTGAAAAAAGGGATTTTTAGACCTGGTCATGGATCTGGTTTGTTCTGAACCACAGTCTCAGATGACCCTTGAAAGTGGCAAAGCTGGAACAATCCCCGACTGAGAGAGGTAAACTGTGCTCCCTTTGAACAACAAAACATTTTGACCAAACGTGGATCGTCTGAGGGGAATCTTGCGGTCTCCTCTAAAAGCGGCTCTGGTGGTTCTAGCTGAAGAGTCGCTGATTTCTTTTTGATGTAATCATCAAAATGGTGAACAAGAAGTTAGAGGCATAGGTGATGGGAACACAAGGTTACCGTACTTGTACTGGTAAACATACTCATGAGCGTATATTCATACTATAATAATCTCAGCAACAGTGTTGAACAATCTGCCTTTAAATCATCAGTTCAAATCTTCATCATTTCTGTCTGTTTCATCAATTGCAATAAACAGGAACATCACCCACATTTGTTTCATTAGGATAAGCGTCAAGAAGACCTTCCCATACACCTATACAAGAGACTAAAAGTTAGATTTGGAGCGCCATTAAAACACGTATTTCAGTACATGAAATAAAACTAATAAATAATAAATAAATAAATAATAAAAAAATATATATCATTCAGTTTAGTTTATGACAAATGTATTTGAAAATATTAACTTATTGAGTGAATATGACACTGAGATGAGTGTACTTGATTGTTTCAGGGAGTTAAATTATAAATGATTTGAGAAAAGAAAAAGGTAAACACGAACATGTTGATTCTTTATCAGCTGTAACTTATATTGTTGTTAAGAAAGAAGCAGCTAGCTAAGTCTTCTTCCTGTTTGTTCATTGACAGTGTAAATGTATTTAGAGTATAAAGTGTATAATATATATTGTGTTATGGTGTTGGAACTCAAACGCTGATGTGAGCAAATAAACCAAATATCAACGAATGAATGAAAAATCAATTCACACACAGATGGGATACAGGCTAATGTTAGCTTAGCAAAAGAAAAGTAAAAACCGGGCGATTTAACTCATCACGCAGGAAACAATAACAGCGTATAAAACCCGTAAAACAGAGACATCATAAAACAAATATCAAAGTTTAAATTTTACCGGGATAAAACCTCCAAATCATCCAAAACTGACAGCAGTCGCTCTTTCGTTGACTTCTCCGCCGCCGTCGCCATAGCTGCTTAGAGTCGCTTCTGCGCAGGACAGGAAGTGGCTCTCTTTTGGGTTTGATACTGCAGCGACACTGCCACCTGCTGGTGATAGTTAGCTCCTGCAGGTATATTTTACTCCTTCACTAATGCTAGTATTATAAACTCCTCAGAATATGAGGACCAAAACGTTATTTTGGTCAAATATGTCGCCCCTTTAATAATACTAATCGGTGTTGTATTATATATGGTTGGAAAGCCTGATTAGTCACCTTCACAACGAGGTATGACCTATGGGTATGACTTGTAAGGATCATGCATGTAAAAATGGCCAATATGTGTTGTTTTTTTCCTTATTACTGTGGGAGAGTGCAATCATCCAATAATTTTTTTGGGGCGCTACCCACACGTTTAGCTTTGTTGCTCATTCCACAAATGCACGATCCTTACAAGTCATACCTCGTTGTAAAGGTGACTAATCAGGCTTTCCAACCATATATAATACAACACCAATTAGTATTATTAAAGGGGCAAAATAAGTGACCGAAATAACTTTTCCAAACTTTTTTTGAGGAGTTTATATGCTGAAACAAACACCACTTTGTTTAACAGGCAGATTTAATAAATTAGTACTTTACAAATGAAATATACTTGATTTACTGTGAAGGTGTTTATATTAAATTATTAAAATTTACATTTATTGTGACCTTATGCTTCTACTCCACTTTATTGCCAAAATATTTTTGTGCAATTTAGACAGTATGCAAGAGTTTCTATTAAATCTTTGATGGATTCATTCATCTCCTGTAGAGATGTATTTTTAGTTTTAGTGTGTTTTAGATATTAATGTTTACTAAACTAAAAGGGAATTTATAGTTTAAAACAGGTTAAATCAAAAAAAGTATTGAAGTTAATGAAGTAGAACAGAAAATAATTGCAATAAAAATGAGGTACGTGTGAGCCTTAAGAGAAAGCCTTTATTGTTATTATTCACATGACATGTGCATTTAAGTAACAACATTGACGTTGAACAGAAAATAAGATATATTATAAAGTAAAAAAATGTAACCTCCACAAGAAAACATATTGCCTGAGTAGATAAATTGCGCTTGTTGGAAAAAAAAAAGTTATATTAATAGAAACATTGACTAGATGACTAGCCTGTAAAGGCCTATAGCTTTTGGATTATCGGTGTAAAACATTTTAACAGATAGAAACAAATTTCTATAACTCTGCACAGCTCTGACTTACACCTTGATACTTTGATGTTAGTCTTGTTACACCCCACCATAAGGCGGAAAGCAATAAAACAAAATAAAATACTAGTAATATTCATTCTCCACCCCTCGTCCCGTCCTCTTGTAAGGCTAACCTACTCAGTCTAGACTCTGAGAGGGCCTCTCTATCTCTCCCTCGGCAGCCCCTGCACCTCTTCTCCAGTAGCTCCCTCAATGTCCAGAAACCTTTTTGACCCAAAACACTTTCAGTTCTCTCTGACTTTCTCTCAGTTTCAGCAGCACACTTATTACCATTATCAGGAAGTCTAAGATCTTAATCCTGTCTTTGCAGAAACTGTTATCTTGAAGGTCTCTATCATCCTGTTTCCTGTTGTTTGACTCATTTAATTTCCTCCTCACTTACTGGTGTTTGGACCTCCTCTTTGATCTCATCTTCATACTTTTTATCTCTCCCCTTCTCTTAGGGCAGTCTGCTCCCCAGGCCTCATAATGCCCTCCCCTACACACACTATATTTGGGTTCTTTCACACAGTTTTTGCCACTACACATTTACCTCAAATCCCTGACTGGTGTCTACAAACAAGACAACTGTGTCCAAATGTTCTCCCTCCTCCTGAACTCAGCACTGGGCTTTAAGCACTGAGGCCAGGTACAAGGTGATCAGTACCTAGGTAGAGGTGGAGACAACGGAAGGGGAGAACGGACAAACATCACAGGGAAACATACAACTGTAGTCTGAGCTACATGAAACTGATAATAATGTTGTCATTTGTATCCGTTGTTTTACTTTCACACTTGTGTCTGCCGCTTTCGCCACTCTGATCGGGGGTTATCAGCCCACACATGGCAACCATCGCCGGTTGCCTGTTTCCAGTTTGTTGATATTCTGCAGGAGAAGCATCTGTGGGACCGACTGCTCAAGTTAGCCACAGTTAGCTCAAAGCCTTCCCGAGAATGAGTGCGTGTTCGACTTCAGACTCAGGCCTCACACACTCGCTGACTTAGATGCGCGTTCCCGCTAAATCTGTGAGGGTTCAGGGCTGTGCGGGACTTCCCGCTGGCTTTTCGAGCCCTCAATGCACTCTGCCCTTAAGGGGGCATATCTGCAGACTTAACGTGAAAGAGTAACCCATTCTTAATAAACAATTTCGAGCCCTTGCAGCCTCGTGCACTCAATCACTTTCCAGGTGACGTAAACTAGGGCAGTAAGTTTAGGGAGGAAATCGGTGGTTAATACACACATGCTGAAATAAACATGATAATAAGCAACTTTACATTCTTTAATGTGTGCCAGTAGAAAATGTGTTGACACTTTAATATCAAGTTCATACTAGCTACAAATAAGTTCTTATAAAATAAATTGTTTTTGGTTTATAAGAGAGGGGCGTGGTCAGACACAGCTCATTTACATTTAAAGCTACAGGCAGTGGCGGTTCTAGACCACTTTTACTGAGGGGGCCAGGTTGGGGCCAGTTGTTTTGTCAGAGAGGCACAATCAACCCAGGACAAAAAATAGACAAAGATGATCTAGCTTAAATGACAAAATGTTTATTGTACAGAAAACCAAATGATTCGTGTTGCTTCAGAGCTGGCAGCTAGTGTCATTAGTGTATGTTTAGAGTCAGCGTCAGTGTTCAGCTCTAAAGGGTAGTGATGGCGAAATGAGGCTTTGTGAAGCAATGAGGCTTTCAAGCCAATTGCATCGCAAATAGATTCATCACTCGAGGCCTCATTTAACACAGTGTACACTAGTGACACCTACTGGTCAAAACAATTTAGAGCGGCCAAATTATTATTGATCACATCACATGCCATTGCATTACTGACATGTTATAGCAAATTTACTACTGTGGTAACCAATAATGATGCACGTGATATTACTTTATAACATACCTTAGTTAATATAATCATATTATCATTCGGTGATCTTATTTTGTTATGATTTCCTATCAAGGTATAGCCTATGAAACAACAATATATATAAATCTATTGTTCAAAAAGTTTGAGGACTTATGTTAACTACAAGTCCAGGAAAAAAGGAAGATTGAAAGAAAGCTCCTTAAAGCACACCAAGCGCTTCACCTTAAAATCAAAATAATAAGCCATCGATAATGAACACAGATAATGATGATAGTGACAGAAATAGTAACAACTAATTGAAGCGATTCAGCATGGCATTAAATGAAAGCTTTGTAGCATAATGGTTATGGCAGCGCCCACTTCAACATAGAGGCTTGGGTTCAGTTCCTGGAACCGCTGAACAAATGTTTTGTTTTAACGTTTACCTTATTGGGAGATGATAACTCAAAATGCTCCCAAACAGGAGATGTTTTCCTCTTTCTCACAGGCTCCATTTCTCAAGAAAATAGAACCAAAACTCCAACTCTCAACAACCAACTAACACAAACTCACAAGGAGACATGACAAGTGGGTTTCGCTTCCTTTTATTCACTCACCTTTCCTGGCTTTATCGATAGATTTTAGTTTTTCTTTGGCCTGGTAAACTGCAGTGGCCTAAAAAAAGAAGAAGAAGAAAAGTTTTCATTTGGATCAACAGAAGAAGCTGCAATGATCTTCAGTTGAATGATTGGAACAGGAACAACTTCACTCAACACTCTCGCAGATAGGATGTGGTGGGAGCTGCACAGCAAGGTCACGCTGTGTCTCACTTTCCTGAGCTCTACTTTGTTTAAAGATCTACCGGTACATATCGAGATTTTTAAACGCAGTCTTAAAACTCATTTATTCAGTCTGGCTTTTATATAGTGTTTTATATCAATTTAAATCTTAACATTACTGTATTGTCTTTTTATCCTACTACAATTTTAAATATTTTCCTCTTATGTATTTATTCTAATATCTTGTTGCTTTTATGTGTCATATTTTATTGTATTTTATTTTTATACATATATTTTATTTTTAATTCTTATTGGTGTGCATTAGTCTCTCAATTATTTTATCAATGATTTTATAAACTACTTATCGTCAATAACTTTTCTGCACTCTTGTTAAGCACTTTGAACTGCAATTTAATTTGTCTGAAAGGTGCTGTATAAATAAAGTTTGATTGATTGATTGATCAGAAAGAGCGCTCTAGTTTGTAAAGACATGTCCGACACAGCAGCAGAAATGTGTGTCGGGTGCGTGAAGTGCTCGTTATAGAGCTGCAGCTCCTGGATGAGACAAAACTCTTCCACATCCTGTCATGCCCTGAGGATTTCATGAACGCACACCCTGTGCATGTTGAATATCAAGATAGCAAGGAAATGAAACTGTGGATTTGGACCCACCAGGATGTGTTCGGCCTCCTTCAGCTGCTTCTGGAGCTGCTGAATGTCGCTATCTCTCTTCTCCACCTCCTTCTCCAGCAGCTGCATCTCCTGGTGCACCTTCCCCTGCTGCTGAGCCACCTCCATCAGCTCCTGGAACTCCCTGTCCCTCTGCACCAGCAGCTCCAGGACCTGACAAGAACACACACAAAGTTTTATCAAAGTTATTCACAAGAATAAAGTCAAAAGGAGATGACAATACTCAAATGTTTTGTTTTAACGTTTACCTTATTGGGAGATGATAACTCAAAATGCTCCCAAACAGGAGATGTTTTCCTCTTTCTCACAGGCTCCATTTCTCAAGAAAATAGAACCAAAACTCCAACTCTCAACAACCAACTAACACAAACTCACAAGGAGACATGACAAGTGGGTTTCGCTTCCTTTTATCCACAACCCGAAACACAAACAAATCAATGACGTAGTTCTACTCGATACGGGGCCTCGGCTACAAATGCCCCAACTACTCGACACACG